CACATCACCAAGCGCGAAGCGCCGTGAGATATTCGGCGAGTCGCATGAAGGGGGGAAAGGGCGAATGATAGAAGGAGCCGTGGGGTGTTTCTTATTCGACACACTCTCCCCGTATCCCCTCGTTTCTTATGTAGTGGGGCAGCGGTCGCCGCTGTTTCGTATGGAGGCATTTCTTACTGTGTGACCCAGCGTGAGCCATGTTTCTTAACCCTATTTTCTTATTTGTCGTGGAACAATGAGCCTTTTATTTCTTAAAAAAATATTTCTTAATTGCGGGCGCTAACTGTATATCCTATGCGAGGGAACGAGGTAGACCCCCCGAGACCAGTCAGACCGAAATAAAAGTATTTTAGCTGATTGTGTTGGGTGTGGTGGGCCTTCGCTGTTAAACTGCTGTACATGCACTTGTTTTTTGGTTCTGTATGGTTGGTCTTTTCGTCTTTTCTTTCTGTGTAGTCCAAGCACGTCAGCCGTATGAGTTGAACTTCGGAAACGCCACAATTGGCACCAGGCAGCCGGCTGTGGGCTGGTCGTGCTGTGTATCTGCTTGTTATTTTGTCTTGCATCACCCTGGGTATGCTACATGAATGGGCCCACTCTGTAGGGTTTCTAGTTGTAATAGATATAGACCGTCGAGTCCATATCTGCCAAGTTGCCACCAATATTTACATCCTTCGAGAGTATCGCGGGGGGCGCAACATTGTGACAAGTTCAAAGGGAGAGGGGGCCGAAGAAAAGAACAGAGAAGACCACCACGGAGCGAAAGAGCTTCGGCCTCGGCGTAAAAAATGGTTTACACAATCGATTGGACCCCAAGCGACCTTCCCAACCGGCAGGTATTTGGTCACTGCCGTAGACCGGAGGCTAGGTTGTCGCACTGGCTGCAAGCTTTCTGCTGAAGTTTACATTTTGGCTGGTGGACTTGACCAGTTACAACACACACGCCCAACCGGGGATGTGGTTGGGCTCTTCTTCGGTGGTTGGGCCTCCCCCGAACGCACGCGCACGCGCATCCAAATAACTAACGTTTGCCGTTGGCCTCTCTCGCTGGAACCCACGATATCGGGCCCCAGCATAGTTTACAAGAAAGCCTGTTGGTCGTGAAGGACCACATTCGTTTTGTCTTGTTCTGTTCCTTCTCGATATTGCCTACTACCGCTGTCGTATGGCCATGCGTTGTTTTGCAAAAATATATCGATTTGCATGGTACTGAAATGGCGAGCGACGCTTTCTGAGTCCAGCGGTACGGTACAGCACTTGGACGTTGGGCACCAACACAATTGAGACAGCGCAACTCGTGTGTTTGTGACCAGTAGTACAGGGGAGGTAGTCCTCGAATGGTTGTGCTTCGGAAGTAAGAATCAACGAGCAAATGGTGACGACAACAACCACATCGACAATAACAACAATTGCGGGAATGCGTGCGTTACTTTTCATCGTGTGAATGCCCCGGGGGCGGCTACACAACATAAGAAACGGAACACTGCTGATAAATATTATTTTCTCTCGGAAAGATGCAAAACTTACAAGAATTGGGGAACTGGGGGGGCGCGCCGCTGGTGTTTATTTTTCTATTCCAGCAGTCGCTTGAAGCGGGTTGCCTACGCGAACTCAGTTTTAATGTTTTAACGATGAAACAGAGAGGTAGGGGTTCGGTAGACCGTACCCGTACCCCACATACCCCTGCCACCTAATGGTTTCATCGATGCCAAACTTTATCCAATGTATTTACTCAATAAAAAATGCGTTGGCTACGCTTGAAGCCAACCATGGGCAAGAATACAGGCACTATTCTCCGTGAAGATGAAGGTCAGGTACCTGACTTTTTAAGGACGGCGCAGAATGTGAATGTTGTGATCATCTCTTTTGCCTGCTTTGCTCGCTGAACTTTTTGTCGGTCGTTCTCGCGCGGCGATCAACATGTGCGATTGATGGTGTAGGCTATCGACCTGGGAAACGATAGCGACGAGGAGGACTCTTCCTTCCCGGCAGCGGACCCAGGTGCACGGGTTTACCTGGTATGCAGCAACGGTACAAATTGGCCCTTTCTATGCATAGCGTGTGGAAGAAGTGGATTCGCGTACCGCGCAGGGGATAGATTCCTTGCACTTGCACTTGAACATGTGTTCGTACATGAGCAAGAAGTAGCTGAGCTTTTTGCCTGAGATGGGAACACGTTCCATTTTTTTAGGAAATATGGACATAAATCAAACGTCCGTACTAATTTTTGTCAAGGGCTACAAGCACCAAAAGTGCGTTGCTCGAAAGTCAGGGGATAAGTTTGAGCTTGGGTTAAAATTCGGCCCCACCGAAACAAGCACTCATTGCAACATAGCCATTACTGTGGTTGAAACATGGAGACTGTGCGGTAAACCGTTTAAACGGCAGGTATGTAGGCCTCATTGGTTTTGGGAATTACTGTTCAGGAAACAATGAGAACCGATATTGTATTGGTGTCAGGTTAGCCTCTTGCTGTTCCTACTGCAGTTGTTGTACACTTCTTTTTGTATGACTGCGTTTAGCCATCTGAAATCGCAACTTTTTTTTTTTGCGTTCATGTACGGCGCTTGAAGCTTTGAATGGGAGCGCCCTTGACGGCGAGGGCGCTGCTCCAGTCGCGGCCAGCTTTCGTGGCGAGAACAGAAACAACGGCAGCGCCTCTGGCAGCAGCAGCAGCAGAAGCAGCAGCAGCAATGTTGTTGTCGGTAGCAGCGACGGCGTCGGGTCATCGGACAGCAGCAGCAGCAGCAGCAGCAGCAGCAGCAGCAGCAGCAGCAGCAGCGAAGCACATCGAGGGGCTCGTGACGGCGAGCCTGTTGTCGGCGTGCCCGTCGGTGATGGCAGCCCGGCGCAGGCGCCCCGCGGCGAGCAACAGGCAGCATCAGCAGGAACAGGAGCAGCACCAGCAGCACCAGCAGCACCAGCAGCAGCGGCCAACCTCGACGCATCAGGCAAGCAAGAATGGAGCGCGGCTCTGGCTTGGGCTGCGGTGCACGCACCCGCGGCTAGCGAAGTGGGCGACGGTAGCGAAAAAGCTGAAGCCGGCGGTGCTTCGGCATCGGGTTCTTCGTCATCAGCCTTGGAATTACCTCAGGCGGCCGGAGCAACGGAAGACGGCGGAACACCAGAAGGCACATCACCAATAGGAGCATTGGCACCGTCAGACCTGGCGGCACAAGCTGCGGGATCGGACGATGCTGGAGCTCCTGGAAGTGAAATATTGGTGCGAGATGGGTCGGCGGGGGATGACTCCAACAATCCGGCAGCCGCTTCAGACGTGTCAGCAGCATCGAGTAGCAATTCCGCTGCTCCGAAACTGGCGGCGGATAGTGTGGAGGCCCTCATTGAAGCGTTGCCTCCGGGGTTCGTGCAATGTCCTGGGTGCCCGATGGTGAGATCAAGTACCAGCATGTGTGTATCTGTAGTGCTTGTGGTTTTCATTCTGCAGCATCACTACTAAATGTTGAAGGCCGTGCTAAATGTTGATGGTTGGTGCCTGTTGAAAGCTGGCTGTTTTTGTGTGGTTCGCGAAGCTACCGAGCGTAGGTGCTGGTAAGGCTTGATGACGGTACCTGCCGACAGGCCAAACAATGAATGCCATACTTTGTTTGACGATCTAGCCATGCTCGATTCTGCAGCGGAAGCATTTCCTCACGCCACCTTGTGTGATATGTTTAGGTTTGATCCCGACCTTGGAAACCGAGCGTCATTGCAGTGCTGCAACACATTCGCTCTCTTTGGACCTTAAACCACAGTTCATTTACGGTAGTCAGTGGCCCATGTACAGCAGCTTTTGACGCTGTGACGCCTTCCCATGTTTGTTATCTCAAGGTGTACGAACTGGTTCCAAACGAAGCTGCTGCCCGCGGCGGCGGAGGCAACGTGACGACGAAGGAGCTGCCGAAGGGCGCAAACTTGTCGCGAAGATCGGCCATGAGGTGAGACTCAGACTCAGGCTCAGGTTCAGACCCGCTGGGTGAGATCAGTTTGTTTTTTTGGATGGAGGCATGGCGTAAGTGAGAGCTCAGGAGAGGGCGAAGTGCGAATGAAGACGTTCCAGTATTCTGTTGGCGCGGAGCCATGTGGGACACATGTGTTGGGCGGGCAGTTTGGTGCTTTAGTAGGCATGTTTGCAGATGACATCGTCACGAGATAGGAATGCGCGCCTTTGCTGTTGGAGATGACTCGAAGAACGGGGTTTGGTAGTGCGTACAGCAGTGGTCCTGCATTTCAGCAGCATTCGCTGCGAGGCTCCTGTCATACCATGGTATGTACCGCCGATGACGGTACGCTCCATGTGCCCTCGCCCCTGGCGTTGCCCTGTTGTACTGCTATTATTTTCCAGGCACAACGGGCGCCACAGGTTCCGCTGCCCGTCATGCTCTACCTGTTTCTGCGGGGCCTGCAGAGCCACGCCTTACCACATCGGGTTCGACTGCGAAGGATGGGCGGCTCACCAGGCGAAGCCCAAGTGCACCTACTGTGGGGATGCTGCGGAGGAAGAACCAGGTTGTTACACCATTTCATTTTTATTGAGCTGCACACATGCTTTTCACCCTGTTTTCACGATTTGTGTACATGCCTTAGCCTCCTTCGCAGTAGTATCAGTAGCAGCCGAAGGTGTTCTACCTACTCCTTACAGGAGCGCTGCCCGTTCTCTGGTATTGCTTCTTTCCTCACGCGCGGGCCCGTCCGTTGCTGTCCCACAAGTTGTATGCGGTGGAGGTAACGACAAAACCGCTGCCGCCGACGGCGAGGAGGCTAACAAGGGTGGAGAGGGTGGAGAGGGTGCCCTTCAAGCCCCTCCTTGCTGTGGACGTGAGGAGTGTCGTGAGCGCGCAAACGAGGGGTGTCGAAAGAAACTGGAGTGCGGACACCCTTGTCGCGGACCCGGTGAGAAGTGCGGTGCAAACGAGGGATTTTCAGCCAACGCAAAGTGTGCGGTTTCACCAGCATTCGTTGTGTGTACAATGCGCGCGGGTGCCAAAATGAGGGCATTAGTGTATTGATTATTGTGTATGAGGTGAGGTTGATGAGGCTCAAGGTTTGCGTTGCGCCAGGTGAATTTGGACCGTTTGGACATGAGTAGATACGACTGTCAATCGTGGTATAAGCTCCACTATTGTGAGGCTTCGTGCCATTCATGGGGCAAGGCAAGCATTGTACCGATCAAATCAGCGACCTCCTCGGTATCTTGGGCGCTCTCAGGTACGGCGGGATGTATCCCGTGCATCGAACCAGACTGTCCTTCTGCCGAGGTGGATGGGAACGACTTTTGCAACGTGTGTTGGACCGAATCACTTCTTGCGGCCCCTTGCGTCAAGGTACAGCCTACATGACGCTTTTGGTTAGCTCTTTCTCGTGCCGTGTGTACCGCTGTTGAATCGTTTGTTAGGCCTCTTTGGGGGCAAATAGAGTATTGGGACCATTCACCACCGTTCTTGGACAAGCGTGCCCATAGCGCTTTGTCCGCTCGCTCTTCTACGCTTGAGTGAAGTCATGTTCCGGTTGTTTGGTAGACTAGGGAAAAACGCATGAATGAATGATGTGGCTGTAGCTGTTGCCGCACACAACACGTCATGTTGTTGCGGCGATCGCTTGTGGCCAAGAGGAAATCGTTTCGCCTCGATGCCGTGCAATGTAGGTATGTTTTGCTCTTCACCAACCCCTTTCGATCGATCGCGGAAGTTAGGTTGAGCATCATGTTGCAAGTACAATTTGGCACGACTGCCCCCGTAAAGGTGAAGGAGTGGTAGCTTCGCGTCGTTGAAGAACATGTGCTCGGCCCCGGCCCGTTCGCCTCCACCCGCGTCCGACACTGCCGTACGGCTATCGAACTGCTCTTGTACTGCCGTGAAGCTGGAGTGCGGCCACTTCGTGCACGTCTCGTGCGGCCGCGAGCAGCTGATGCGAGGACGACCAACCGCGCGTCTAACGTTTGGCTTCATGAGTTGCCCGGTCTGCCGTGCGGACAAGGTGTGAGCTCGCAGTCTTGTACAAGTACTCAGTAGTTCCAGATACTTGAGAGTGGAAGTCGTGATGCTTCACTGCTGAAAGCGGTGTGCTTGGTACGTTGACAACACGTAACCTGAGCGCGGGGACGGGTAACTTTCAGTGATCGATGCAATACCAACGAAGAAGCTGACGTCGTCACTGTGTGTACAGTACAGCCCACAACATTACCATTGTTGTTGACTCGCTGCAGGTGTTGGCTCTGCACCTCCATCTCGGCAAGTGTGACGGCATCCCGGAGCAGCTCGAACTGGCCCATCAAGTCGAGGTAGGGTTTATCGTACGCGGCGCCTGTCTTGCATGAGACTCGTTAGCTTCTTGTTTGACGCGCACCCGCAGGACTACTGATTCGTCTTCTCGCCCCTGCCGAGTCAATTAATGGTCGTCTCTTACCGCTTGTTATGCGGCCGGAGTTGATGTCGTTGGCTGGCTTTGATGGACACCCCAGCCAGACTTTTTCGAGTGAGCACTACGGAAAACAAGTACAAATGCGCGAGGGCCTCCTGCGGTGACCGCATGCCGGCGGCTAGACCTTGGTCTCGTTAAATTTCTTAATGGAAAATTTTGTGGTAGATTCTGGATGGACATGAGCCTTGTAGCGGGGGATTCGTCTTGTTTTTCGTCTGATTGTGAAGGCCAATCGCGTGAGTAGCCTAAGGTCCATTAGTAGGTGCCTCAGACAAAAGATTCCACCATTCTAATTATCGGTGTTGCTGGGGTGGTGACCGTTGTGTGCACTCAGCGAAGCTCTGAATACATGATGCGTGTACCTCTTGCTTTGTGCCATTAAACCCATTCTGTCGGTCAAATTGACATGGGCCCCGTCTTCCCGATACTGTCCTACTTTTGTTTTAGTTTGTGCCCTTGAAATGGCCGAAGGCTCGTCGGGGAGATACAGAAAGAAGTATCACGGATTAGGCGGAGATAGGAAACTCTACAAAAACTCGATACCGTTGGATATTTTTTTGTTTCTACTAAACGCGAGTGTCTTGATCATGTTTTGTGTTAGCATTGCAATGTTGTCGGCAACACTACAGCTCGAACATACCCCCGATGGGACTGTGTTCATGTAGTCATCAGGGTGAGCATGAGTGAGTTTTCATGATACGAGGCACTCTTGTGTACTCCCATCACATGTGGTTGCTCCGTTGCCCCACGTCTGCTTTGCGGTTGGTGTACACCAAAATATCAGGGTGCCTCTGCCACGCTTCATTTTGTTCCTTTCGCTTCGTATGTCACCGCCGTGAGTTGGCCATATTGTGTAGCGTTGCGCTCCGCGGGATACGCACAATGTTTCGCACCCCCCCCCGCCCTTTGCGCCATCAACTACTGTCGCGTAACGGCAGTGCCATGGCTGTGTGTGTTGTGTCGCCTCGGTGTATCGTTTCCGTTGGTAGGAGCTGGCTATCCAACGTCTTCGCGCAGACGAGCTTCCTCCCCTCAAGGTACGGAAGCGTAGCCGTTCTTTGTTCTTTTCGTGGGATCCCAGTCGTTCATCGATCGTGGTTATCTAGCCCGAGAATGTTGGGCACAACATCCTGGCGTATTGTGTATGGCAATGTGCTTCCATCGTGCTCCGTTTACAGCGTACTACGACGTACCATGTTGTGTTTGGTAACTGTATAGGACGATGGAAGTTTGCTCATTCGTAGGAGTGAGATGACACACTCCAAGCCTCCGGCAGAGTGTCTGTGTTGTGCTTTTGGATCGATACATCGAAACGACGTGCAGCTGGCGGAAATGTTGAGATTTTTTTTTGTTGTTAGTTGCATAGAGGCGAGAGGTTAAATAGAACAATTCGACCCAATCTGGGCCTTTGACATAACTACTGGACAAGTCAAGTTACCTTGTCCTGTCTTGTCCTGTCTTGTCCTGTCTTGTCCTGTCGACACCACAACCGGTCCGTCATGTCAGAAGGCAACATGGATCATTTTCGAGTGCACATCAAGAGTACCCGACGTGCTAGATTTGGACACTGTTTCATGCATGATAGTGATGCTCATTATCGTTGCTCAGCAGAGACGAACGACGTGGTTGCAAGCCAGAGACTACAGTAGATCTAGAGCCTGATAGCGCACAAACACCTGAAGGAACATATATTTCTCTCGTACTAACTTGTTGAAAATCTTCAAGTGCGCCCTCCACGACCACCAGGGAGTTGTTTTCGTGAGTTACATTCAGGTCCAAACTATGTACCATGACGACCACCACCACGTGCACCCCCCCTTTGCTTGTGTTTCGCGCAGAAACCTTCCCTGGATAGTCTCCACGCGGGGATGCGGCGGCGGATGGCGGGTTTAGTACGCCATCGACAAAAAGATAGACACCCCGCAAACTGGAGGGCGAGGGGGCGTGGGGGGCCTTTTCCGCTTCAAATCCCATACCCCCCCATTCAGGCGGCGGGGTTTTACCCGCCACGCAGAGCACGAGGAGCTGCGGCAGCGGCAGCAGCGGCAGCACCAGGGGGGTTGGGGTTGGCGGGGGCGGCGGGGGCAGCGGGGGCAGCGGGGGCGGCGGGGGCGGCTCAGGCGCACCCGATGTCCCCTTTGCAGCTGATTCCGGGGGGAGCGCCCCGAGGCGACTGGCAACTGGAGATGGGGATGGATTGGAGGATTCCCCCATTTGCTCCCATGATGCCTCCACCATACGCGCTTAACAACGTAGCTGGGGCGGCTAGGCCAGGGCTGTGGATAGGCGCAGGGGCGAGCGCAGCAGGTGTGGGAGCAGCAGCGAGAGGATCTGGTCGTGCAGGAGGTGCACATCAACATCAGCAAGAGCAGGAGCAGCAGCAGCAATCGGTTTCGCACGAAGAGTATCTCAACAAAAGAAGACAGATGCTCATCGCGCGAGCAGACGTGGCGATGAAGAGAGCGATGGCCGGTGGTGTCAAGGTCCCTGGGGCAGCGAGGGGTGCGAAGGGTGCGAGGGGTGGTCTACCAGCCGACCCCCCGGCAGCTCACCCACGCTCCCCTCTCGTTCGCGAGCGCATAGAACAGCAACTTGAGAAGGGGAAGGCTGTGCTCGAGGAAAGGAGGCGTGTGCGGCGAAAATCTAGGAAGGATTTAAACGAGTGGGGGCTGCCTGGTGGCGTTCCGTTCGGATCCAAGCAGTCAAATGTAGCTGCCGGCGACTCTGGTGGTGCTTCTGCTGGTGCTGGTGCTTCTGCTGGTGCTTCTGCTGGTGCTTCTGCTGCCGCTGGTGCTTCTGCTGCTGCTGGTGCGATGGCGGTAGATGCGAGCGTAGTAGAGAACGTCCAAGTCGCGGCAAACCAACAGCAGCAAGGAGACTCTGTTCAGCGACGTGGTGATAATGCTCCATTCTGCAAACGTGATGCGGGCGAGATTGCAGGAAAACCAGCCGCACGCACAGCTGGTGCTGTGCTGCCTCCCCCTCCCGGCGTGTGCCGCGCCGTGGCTTCGTCGACTCCCCCGCAGAGCCTGGATGTCGGCCAAGAAGAGCTGGCGCAGGGTGACCGAGAGGCAAAAGGGGGGGGCGATGGTGTCAGAACCGGAGGAGGTGACAATGTCATGGATGCCTCGGGGCGGGGTGGCATGGTGGGCCGCTTGGGAGGCAGTGAAGCAGCACTAGCACCAGCAGCTGGGCAACCTCCGGAGGGCTCTGAGATGGGTGCGGATAACTGCGCTCGAAAAGGAGCTTCTGGCCGCGATGTGGATCCCAAGGTGTTGAAGCTAGCGACGAGCCGTCACGGAATTTTCGAAGCCGTGGCCGAAAGCGAGTCTGATGAGCCCAGAAAACTCGATTGCAACGGCGGGGGGGCAGGTGCCAACGGCGGGTCGGCCGCCTCAGCCCCAGACATGCGTCCCGCCGCCGGTACCGATAACGACAAAGTGGACGATGACGAGGGCTTGGCGCTTGATGTGGTTGGCATATTGCCGTGGCCTGAACGCGCACGCAGCCCCAGACCTCGCCACAAGCCCGCTTGGCTTGATAAGGGCGACGATGGTGACGATGAAGCCCTCGATATGGAAGAGGAAGAGGGGGTTTTCGTCGTCACCCCGCCACTCGGGAAGAGGAAGAGGGAAGAGGCGGGAGGGAAAGGCGCGGGCATCGAATTTGAATCAAGCTCCAAGCGGCGGCCGGGTGCTGGTGTCGGTGCTGGTGTCGGTGCTGGTTCTTCTCTCGAAGAGGTTGTTGAGGTTGAGGAAAAGCTAAAGCGAAAGGATGGCATCTCCCCCAAGATCGCAGCTGTCGACCTTGGCGGCAAAGCACGAATGAAAGTGAACCGCGAGAAGAAGCGAAGCGTTGCTGACTTTGTCGTCGACCGTGGAGGCATCCGGGAAGCATCCCCCAAAAGGGTGCACTTCGGCGCCGGTGATTTCTCTGTCGGCTTGGGGTTGGCGAGGCGGGTGGGGTACCGCCCCAAGTCCATTGGAGGCGAGTGGGGTGCGCTGGAACGTGGAGCTGGCTTCTCCAGGAACGAGCAAGAGGAGAAAGAAGCGGCGGGCGCCGTCGCGGATGCTGTGATGGCCGCAGGCGCAGTCGGTGGAGGCGGGGTTGACCGCTTGGCAGAAAATGAAGACGACCAGCGCGAGGAGAAGAGGGTTGACCTTGCGGCCGCCGGGATGCTGAGGCTTCATGTGTCTCCCGCCGCGAGAGCACGGGACAGAAATGCTAGAGTGGCCGCAGCGGCGACGGCAGCAATGAGAGGCATGGCGGGTGATGGGGCGTCGGTGCGGTCCTCAAACGCACCTGCTGCTACTGCTGCTGCTGCTCCCAAGGCTGATAGCGCCAAAGGAGGTAAAGGCGCTGGAGCAAGTGCCGCTAGTGACGATGATGCTGTGAAGTTAGGCGAGCTATCGAAGGAAGAGCGGGTGAAGTTGGTGAAGAGGGCCCTCAAGAAGTACTCCTACTACCAGGTGAGGCACGAGTGCGGTGCTCTGCTTTTCGAAGCAATCGCTCTGTGTAGAGTCGTTCCTCCATGGGATGTGATGGTTAAAATTCTGTACCCGTTGTCACACGGCAAGGCACGTTTCCCAGATCTACCCCTTCTGGAGGAGTCCGATTTGTGTTTATCGCGAGTGCCACTTCAGCGACCACACACCTTGCAGTGGACTCCGCACCGAAACATCTGTCACTGTTGTGTTTGTCCATCTTCAGCTCTAGGACTACATGTCGATGCACGTGCCATCCCTGTTTATGTTTGCCCTCTCCCGCATTCCATGCGATCCCGTTCTTGCGCACGCGCATCCATTGTCAGTGCCACTCCTGCCGCAAGCCATACTTTGGTGGGCTTGTCAGTTGCGAGCCTGCTGCCCCTCCGGCAGGCAGAGGAGGAGAGGCTTCGGTCGGGCACGGGGCCGGGGCTGCCGCGGACGCGCAGGCGGCGGAGCGAGCGCTCGCTGACATCAAGCCTTCCGAACTCCTCTGTGGGAAGTGCTCGGCGGGCAGTGGCGGCGCGAGCTGCTCCGAACACGGGCAGGTGCTTGTCTGGTATTGTATATCTTCACTCTCGGCAGAGGATAGTCGTCTCGCCTTGCCCTGGACCAATGTTTATCTCCCTGGAGTAATTCCCCCAAGACGGCAGTGGCCTGCACAATTGGAACACCGGAGTAGCGGTGTCGCGTGCCCTCCCCTCTTGAAGATTGATGGAAGACAGGCGCAGCTATTCAAAGCACGCCGGTTTTCTTGCACCCACACACCCGCAACTCTCCCGAAAAAAACACTCGTTAGTTATAACCCGTACACACCCTCGCGTGCTGGCTGTCGCAGGAGTTCATGGAGCACAAGTGCTACTGGTGCTGCCGAAAAGTTGCCTCCTACTTTTGTGGCGGAGTAATGCACTTCTGCGATGTCTGTCATTTGCACGGTTTCGCCGCCAAGCCGAAGCCCTGCCTTGGTGGTGCCCATTGCCTGTTCGGTGGTCAACACCCTGACAAGGCCAAGAATGGAGAACACGAGTATGTGCTGGGATGCGGCATTTGCCGTCCCAAGCCGGAAGAAGAGATGGGAGGGGTAGACCAGTGACGAGGCGCGGAAATTGGCTGAACTGATCGGTGGTGTGAGCCTCGTGGATGCAAACCCTTCCCAAGGTCTACCATGATGGACCGCAAATCAACCGTCTTGATGCCACGCACAGGGCGGGACAGCGTGTACACCTCTGATGCATTGGATGTATCGTTTACTTCATTCAACCGATCGCTTGTGCCTTCATTCGAGGTTTGCTGCAGCACTGTCTTGAGCATGCGTAGGTCGGGACACGTTGTGTATCCCATGTGTGTTGCTGAAAGCAATGAGCGTCGTCGGCGTCTGCCTGTCTTAAGAGTTACCAGTTTTCGAGCGGGCAGAAAATGTGCAGACAGCGACACGCTCGTTGCAAAAAGTAAATCGCTGCAGAGAAATCACGCTCCAGGCTTAAACTTGCCCAGCGTCTTGCTGACACGCAAGAGGGCGGGACGGTGTGCCCCTTGTTGTATGTTGTTTATTGTATACAGAATGTTTAATGATGAGCAGTCAAATGCAAAGTCAGAACAGATGCGTTTCGGGTTAGTTGACACAGCCAGAGCAGGGGCAACCCCCCCCGAAATCGACTCGTCAGTCTCTTGCGTTTGCGGGGTGTCCTTCCCCATGGGGTTGTTAGAGTGATGTGTCGTCGTGCTGGACGTTGTATAGTCTAGTAGGTTCCCCAGAATAGGGTACAGGGTAGGTTTGGGAGATAATTCCTCTGTTGTGGGGCTCGACCTACGTTTCGTGTTGTTAGGTGTTGGTGTGTTTGTAGTGTATCTTCGTTGCAACATGAACACGGGGGCAATCACCTGCACTCGCCGTTGATTTGGGAGTCGTCGCTTGTGCGGTATGCGGGTTGGTTTACACGGCTCATGTGAACAAAACCAGTAATGAAGTGTTTCTTCCTCTCGTTGCTACCGATGTAATGCAACCGAGACCTTCAACAGCTGTTAACTACGAGCGAACACATCTGCATTGCCATTCGTCTTGAATCGGCAACATGCAGTAACCTACGGTGGTCACTGATGCTGCGAAACATGCCATCGCACATTTCGCGGGACCGCTGTACTTGTTCAACAGCTGAGGGTAGCATCGTATTGGCGTGCAGTGAACCCGCCTTGTTTTTTCAACGTCGCAACTTTCGTCGTTGCACTCTGCCCCTCTCATATGTATCTGAACGCAAACCCGATATCGCCTGTTCAGCGTGGCGCGAACATATGATGACCTGTACGAGGGCAGATGGCTTCAAATCCAATGGAGCAACCGATCGCAACACAATTTTTCGATTTCAACAAGCTGCTACACGGACGGCAAAAGGCATTGAAACTTAAACTTTCATCTGTTTGGAAGTATGCATACGAAGAACGCACCTGTTGCGTCAATCAGACTTTCGGCACGTTCGACGAACATTCGCATTTACAGGGGAAGCCAAGAGATGTCCACTCTAAGCAGCATGTATGGCTCTCCACGGCCAAATGAAGGAAGGTAGAGCTCGTCGCTAGGTGGGTGTCAAGGTCCAGAAACAACGCACTAATTTGAACAAACGACACGCGCTTGACGCTCACATCGTTGATAATTCATAAGTAAACCTCCCCCAAATCCACCGGTAATTTACTCAGCTGTCGAATCTTGTTCACATTATGCACATGTGCCGTTTCCGCGTGGATCGGTCATCAAATTCCCATAGGTTACACTAATAGAACTAAACCGCTCCTGCGCAGCTACCGCAGCACCAACACATTTTCTCATCGGATACGGTCGCTATCCCCCTCGAGTTATCGACAATACGGAGAGGTATGCCGCCTTAGTCGACGGATTCCCAATGGTAGTTTATAACCTTCACAGCGTCCAGCACAAAGTTCCCAACCTTCACGAGAGACGAAATACATAAACAAGGGGCACCGGGGGAAATGGTTAAAAGTGACGGTCATATGCCCATGCGAAGAAACGATAAGTGCTGGTTGCTGTAGTTTCGTGCGGGCCCTGGGCATCCATTTGGCATGGTCCGCATCATGGTGTCTGCCGGCGGCCAAACTTGTAGCCGTTAGGAGTAAACAAGTTTCGATGATTGACTACCAAGCACGCAAATTCAACGAAAATCGGTCACAAGACCCCAAGCACCGGCGTTGTTTCGGGGCGCATTGCCATCAGGCGTCTTACCTTATACCTCTCGGTCTGGTTGAAGGCCTTGATCTTTTGATTGCAGGCAAAGGGAAACGAAGAGGATTGGTTGGTGCATTAGGCTTAGGTAGGACAATAGCATCCGGGGTGAGCCGACTATGGTGGTTTCTTACACACGAAATCACGGACAAACGCAAGAGGGTATTTCAATGGTACTCGGGGTAGCATGGCATTCTTCGAGGGACAATTTGATTGTATTCGTGTGAATACGTTTACGTCAAACAAAAACGTTGTCGGTGCCCAGGTCCTGGAACCGAGTTCGAATGAACCGAGTTCTTAAGCGAATGCACTGACACAAATTACAGTTCCGCATTACCATACAAGAAATCAGACCAGACAAGCTTCGCAGCGGCGCGAGTCATGCGCGCTCCGTCTTCCCTCTTGAACCGTTGATCAAGTAACGAAAACCATGCTTCACGCCCCGGATTTCGGGGGCTGTTCAGCTGGAAACGCAGTCGTGAAGCATCTAAAGACCACTCTTTGTGGTCGCTCATCTCTGCATTTTGCCCTCACATATTTCCATCCCACGTTGGTGTCGCAGGTCACACAGTAGACATCCTGGCAGACATGCATGCCTGACGCTCAGAAACACACGCACACAAGCAGCATGATCAAACGGGTTCAACATCAAGCTAAAGCATTTCGAATATCCCGTCTATTCGTTCCTCTCAGTCCACACCTTCCGCGAGGGCTGTCTCTCATTCTCGACAGAACAACACTCCGACCAGCCTATCAGAGTGCACCAGAAGGATCCCTCTCCCCCTCCCCGCCAAAACCGTCCAAGATCTGTTAAATACTTGATACTTGCGGTTCACCGTAGAGACATGCAACAGTAAGAACGAATTGACACAGCAGGCATGCCTCCGACTAGAGTCAACAACAAACCAGCATATGCTTACAAGAAGTGCAGGAATATCAAAACCAAAATATTAAGATCCACCATACGGTAGAGAACGTTGGCATCATTTATGCGTGTTCTGTTTGACTGGGGGAATTTACTCGTCCCTACAAAAAAAAAAAACAGCAGCAAGAAGTTGGCCAAGCCTTTGCTTGGTACACGGAATCCGTCGAGTCTGAGACAAAGAGAGTAAAACGCCATAACATAGAAAGGGCCGATAAGTGTGCAAAGGATATTTGGGGCAACACTATGTGTACCTGTTCTCAAGCTTCTGTCAGCGGAAGGACCGTTGGTGACGTTGATCAATTTGTTGATCAGAAAACCCCTGCTCGGTGAGACGAACGAGCAGGGCAGGACAGGACAGGACGAGACAGGACAGGAGCCAGACTACCGAGGTCAAATACCCTGCTGTACCCACGGAACGGTCGATCAAAGTTTCAATACCTCTCATACATGAATCCACGGGCTCCGGTCGGTTTCTTGTATCTCATGCGTCTCACATCGAGATATCTGGAGGGCAACGTACAGAACCCACTCACACCGGCTCGTCTGCCGCGAAAAGCAACAGTCAACCGATATGTACCATTCCCAAAACCAAGAACTTGAGCGAATCATAAAAAAAAGTGTGTGAACCAGTGCTCCCCCAATCGAAATGGGTGTGATTCATTGAGAACATCCAAGACGGGATTGGTGTACGCAACCTCGACGGCACCCGTTACAATTATCAACACCAGCCCGACGTGGGCCGCAATGCAGTCTACCTTGTACCCTCCATGAAGCTCTAGAAGTCACGGTGTCCCTAGACAATCTGCAGGGACCTCTACATAACATGGCCAGAACCGACGGAAACACAACGAGCACGGCCTCTTGGAAATCTCTACACGGACGTGTTGCCACTCGCCGTTTCTATCATACCGTACCGAACAGTATGCCCTATTGAAGCTGTTGAGTGACGAGACCATAACTCTCGAAAAGTGATGTTTTGGTGGACATCATTTCCATATTCACACGAAACATCCATGACTCAGACGATATACAACGGCACTAATAGTCGCGGTTGACACCTCGTACACATCACGTCACTGACATGATACTTCCACAACGCTTGCAGGGAAGCAGTGCGGTGACCCCAGCAACTGCGTGCCCAAGCGAAATGACTGAACACCCACGCTGGCACACCCATGAACGCACCTCCCGTTTTGTGTAGTGAAGTCCTTCGATTCAATATTTCCCTCGGTAGACAGGTGCGTCTTGCAATTCGCGCAGGCGAACACCTTGCAGTTTAACAGAACGTATGTACATGCGTGATAAGAATTTGTGAAGGTAGCATTCCCGTGGACTCGACAATAGGAGGGCCATGGATCTAGCTGCCTTGTCTGCCTGAAAAGTTGCGATGATATAACTGCAGCAGTAGATACATCTTACCAGCAGGACGTCTATCGAGCACTCAAACGTCAAACAACGCCTTGCCACCCGCCTGCACTTTGGTTTTATGCATACCGCTCGTTGTTGAAGCTGTACTGCTGTACCGCCGGAGTACGAAATACCTGTACGGTACCCCAACACGCTATATGGAAGCAGGTGCATTCTGTGTTTCATGTTTCATGTGGATCAACCTTTGAACGCGACAACTGCAGGCGCAACATGTGATGGGATCAACAAATCTCATGCATGTGTATGTCTTGCAGTATCCAGAAGCCGGGTGAGGAGCGAGTACGTCAAGTCGAAGTTGAGCGTAATAAAGTGACTGGAGACTGGGTCAAAGGGGAGAGACGGGGGGGTAGGGGGGAGTAGGACTTTCACACCCTTTAACCCTTCTATTACTGGAAGCCCAAATGGGACAATTTGGGGACACAGCACTCAAATGCGTATTTACCGCACCGTAGCCACCCTAGGCTCCACTGTGTGAGACGCACGTGAAAACCATTGGTCTATCATGCTTGGCTGAGGTGGTACGCAGTGTGATATGCTGTGTGATACCTCTTCCCGGCCTCTGACTTACTGTACACCATCGCCCAAGCCCCTTTTCCCCTAGGTCGTACTAACTCTACGTCCCCTGGTACTGGAACTTTGCTCACTTGGCTCCAGCATGAAAAGTGTCCCCACGTTGTTTGGGAACAATTTTGATACTGAAGCCAAGTCACCCTTTGTCTGGCAAGCTCATATTTTTGGATGGACTGTAGCCCCTCGACAAATATATTGCGACATATTTTTTTGCGGAGGGACTGGGTTCTAGGAGGGCTAAGCCACAAAAAAAAACAGGGAATGCCTGATCAGGTTCAAGGTCAGTCGAATCCTCGTAACTGGCCCACTGGCTTATCGTGTACCATGCCTCACGCACTCCAGTCAACCAGTGCCGCCTCAAATTGTTTATTGGGCAGTTTGCCTGCCACACCTTGGGATACCGTAGCGTTACCTAAAAAAACTCTTATTTGGCTGAAAATCGTCATCACGGAATTCCAAAAGCGTGTTGAGGCATTAGTGTCTCTTACAGAGGCAGACGTTAACGCACTAATGTTGTATACTGCGGGATACTACACCGAAAATATTAGGTATGCATACAAGTACTTCAATACAATATCTTGCACCCCTCGGTAATAGGATGGAATGTGTTGCTGTCTCAACGGTAGTGATGATAGTTTTCACGTTGCTGGAGAACGTGTTAACATTTATGGAATGCAAATATCCCTCTGTGAGTCCCATCCCAGGTGCAGGTTCCTCTTTACTTTTGTATAGGTACTTTTTTCCGGACAAAACACTTGGGGTAGTGGGCGGCGATTCCTGTATACTTGTGTACGGGGAGATAAATCTGCGTGTATCCCAAAGTGCAGGGGAGTTTTACATGCCTACTAACGCTTGCGCTACACTTATTGCCGTCTTTCAAGATGTTTCGAAGCCATCAGGATACATGGAAGCTCGGAAAAACGTGGAGGAGTGGGGGGAAAGTCTGGAAAATTTCAGGGTGTAAAATAATGTGGAACAACGTTTTTCGCACGCACTGCGTCCTCACCACACCATTATCCAAGCATTCAATCCGCCGCTCACCCTTTACCCCCCCAACACAGTCAGTCCGATACAAGAGATGGACAAGATACCACGTGTTGCCTGAGGATCAGCAGACGCAAGGTAGGTCGTTCAACTCAATGAGTCGTCGCGAAAGCATCCCGGACTACTGCTGTATCAATGGATAGCGAAGAGCTTGGTTTGTTTCTGGGAACATACAAAAGCTCCTACTGATACATATCAAAGCTATTGCTGTTGTCCGAAGAAAAAAATAACCACAGCACTTGTTTCCCTATCGTTGTACAAAGTGTGCGAGCTTTAGTGGAGTCACTCAGGGTATATCGGTGGTATCTGTGTACGGTTTTATCTTATAAAATTCACGTCCATCCGTGGATACAGGTGAAGGACAAATCAGCACCGAACTCAAGAGGTGCACATGCTGCCCTGTATCAAATAGACAAGCGGGCCCTCTCTGCATCGAGTATGCGCCCGGCCGATTTCTCCCGCCCCCTACAAGATAGAGAGCGATGAAAGCTGCCCGCAGTTGTCTGATCGGCCAATTTTTTTACAGGAGCTTTTTTCAGATTGCCCAAAAATCCCTGGACGACCGATGACGTCATGCACGGCTACTGCTGTGTTCTATGTAGAAAAAATCAAAATATTTCAATCTCACCGCCGTGGATGATGTTGTTGAGGCATGGAGACCGCTGGTGACTATCATAATGATGATTGGTCAATTTTGACTCTTTTTTCTCTCGACTACGTACGCTGGTGAGTACGAGTACACACCAAAAAAACTGCGGGCACCACGTAGACTGTACAACTGGCATAGTGCTGTGTGACTTGCCGTCATTATGACAAGCCCATGCACCCAACATACACCAATCACCGAGCTAAAGCAGCTTTGTTGTTAGTTGAGGGACGAAGTACGCGGAGGATGCATGAATGAAACCACACCAACCTACTGAGCATACTGCTACAACAACTTGATCAGACTACTGTTTCTACTTACGAGACAAGAGAGTACACCCTCTCAATACCGGCCACCCACCCTGTAGAGTACCTGCAGTGCGCAAGACTACCAAATACTGTACAGCGGTGATCGTCGGAAGTGATAGCTCCCCTATGGACAATATTCCTTAGGCAGCAGCCACAACATTTCCACAGAAAGTCCTCGTACATGTAGACTACAGCAGTAGTCGGCCTTTGCAGTCGGGGGGGCATCATGAAATACTAGTGCCGGTTGGGCGGTGACGTGCTCCCTCGTAAGCTAATGACACCGAGTTACACAAGTGACCTTTTTAGTCGTTTCGCACTGAATCTTGCGGGTGTGTTCGTCATGTACGTCCCTACCGGCGCTCGCTGTGGAGAGACATCCATTGGTGCATATGTGGAAATGTACTCCTCTATGCATACTATAATACTACTATCATCGATGTACAAGTAGTCTAGACCCAAACGGTAGCCTACAAAATGCAGCATTTAGTCTACATTCTGAACAGGTAATACAAATACAAACACAGAAAGATTCCACTCATGCCCATTCGAGATATAAGCACAGTCGAACGGGATGTGTTGGAGTCTTGGCAATGCATGGATGGAAACTCTGAACTCGTTCTCAGCCACCTAGACTACTGCATATTCATACCACAAAACGTACCTGGTGGTAATGGTATGAATGTACCGCCGTGTACGCCTTCCAACATCAACTTGAAAGTTCACCATTTCAATGCACAGCAACGGAGATACAATTACCAGCTCGACTCACTTGTGGTTCCTCGATGAAGCGCGTCAACACCCGCGGCATGTCGTTTGCCAGATTGAAAGCTCTCGCTCTCGTTGGTGCTTGTTGTGGGTGCTGTTCTCCACTGAACTGAGAGGAACTGGACTACCGTTGTGTGAGGCAGAAATAGGAACTCCCGTCGCCTCCGGCGGAGGCGGGGGGGGAGGGGGTCACATTTGACGTCTTCTAGGACTCTTGCCTTGCTCTTGCTTGACTCTTGCTGCTCTCANGTCGCCTCCGGCGGAGGGGGGGGGGGAGGGGGTCACATTTGACGTCTTCTAGGACTCTTGCCTTGCTCTTGCTTGACTCTTGCTGCTCTCACCCAACAGCCAAGTTGACTCACCCGCTGCGTGTGCGAGAGCTCACGCCAGACTCAGACCGCGCTGTTGACAATACGGTCATTCGGTATCACTGAGGGCGCGTGCAGCACCGCCGTGGTTATTGCACAGCGTACGAAAAGATGAACGGAAAAGCTGTGTCGTGAAAATTTACTTGCTGCGGTGTCTTCGGTTCTGCTGCTGCATGTTGTCTCCTCGCATAACGTATCGAAGGCAACGTACCGCAGGAGGGGAGGGTAGGGAAGGGTCCTTCTGTGTGACCACGGGTTGGAGTAAACGGTACGAGTGCTGTGAGCGCTGACTTGAAGTGAAGACAAAAAAAAATGTTGTTGGCAACGACAGGGCGAGGGTTGACTCTTTTGTTGTTTCTGGACGTTTAATGTGTTCTTCAGAGGGCCATCATACATCACACACGGATACATGTTTTTGTTTGTTCTTCACTCACCTCTTTGTCGTTGTTTGTAAGACGAGAAGGCTTCAGACACACACCCCGTCGACCGTGTGAAGTCTACTTTGTTTGGGTTTCACACACTACACACAGCACAAAGACGTTGGGATTGCAGTAGAACATCATGTTTGTTTTATTATGTAGTTCTCAGGTGAAGGGGATGGCGATGATACTGAGGGTGATTGCTTGGGAGTGACGGAAATGAAGGACAAGGAGGGAGAAAGGAGGATGAAGGCGACGATGGAGGAGGAGGAAAACATGACGTGGAAGAGAACAATTTTTTTTTAGCCATTGAGGCTTCCTCACAACAAACGCCGCAGGACTACAGAGGGCCCGCCAAAATGGGGGAATATGGGCGGCAGTAGTGAATGCAGGGAAGACGACATCAATCCAAAACGAACGCGGTAAACATGTAAAGTAGTGTTTTCTGTTTTTGCTACGTACGTCATCTGTCTCAATATTCGGAGAGTAGCTTAGACTCCCCCATGACGCTCTCTCACAGGGTCGGTCCCAGATCTTTCGTGTTTTCAACCGCACTGAGACTGACTTCGTTTCATTGGTCAACCGGTTAGTGCGGTCGATGCAAGTAAGGAAACAACACGTGTTTCGACATAATGTGACAAATCCCACACAGTTCGAGTGACTGCACCGAGATTCAAACTCACTCGTGTACTATTATAACGTTTACAAGGCGGCGAGGTTCTCTAACTGAATCGTCGGGCCACCGTTTCTTTACGATTGTATATTCGGGAGCATACTTTTTTCTTCATTACTTTAAATCGGCGCTCACGGCATTTCTGCCGGTTACGAGCAGCTCCAATCCGTGGTCATGCACAAGGGTTTCCCTGGGGCCCCCTACCATCGCCCCTTCGGCGGTGCCTTCGATTCTTCACCGAGTACAGCACTCTCTTGCCTCACAGTGTGCACAAGAACTGCAAAGAGATAGAGAAAAGTGTATCGCTCTCCACGATTGTACTGTACCAGGAACGGAAGCGAGAGAATCAACTAATTTTGCAATAAAAAGCTCAATTACGCCGGAATTCGAACACATGCACCCTCCACAAAGCGTTCAACACAACACACTCGATTGGATATGGCAGAAATCACAGCAAGCACCACGTCCATTATCGTCTTACTCATTCTAACCATCTCCCCAGACGTCATATCGTACGTGTTGTCCTTCCGATGTAAAGTAAAAAACACGTCAGCGACACGCAAACAGCACAATACAACGCAGATATGCATATGCACAATGGTATGCACATCAGGTGTAATAATCTCCTACAGTAAGCCACGAATCCACGAACACAGATCGGGGTGGCCACCCTGCGCGTCAGTCAGTCTACAGCTGCATACGCATGCTCGCTGCCGGCAATTGTTCGTTTTCCGCTTTCTCCTCCGTGCGAGCTCTCTTTCGGCTGTGTTCGCTACCGTGGTCCCCTTCCCTTGGCAGGTCTCCGCGCTCGTTGTTCCCTGTGGCCTGTGTCGCGGGCGCTCCAACATTGGTGCTTCCCGGGTAAGCCGCCTCAAAACCTGGATATTGTTGCGTCGGGGGATTTTTCGGGGGTCTGCCTGGCTTCCTTTTTGGGACCATGCCGAGGCGCTTTAACCTTCGCCGCAGTCGGTGTTGCATCGACCGCCAATGGTTGATGAGAGCGCTCTGGCTTCCCTCTTCTTTCAGAGCACTGTATGCAGGCATATCCAGCTGATGGGAGACACAGGAAAACAATGTACGTTGGAAGCACGGTATATGTTAGGAAACACTCCGACAACACGTGACCTCACGAACGCGATTTTTTTCATGAGACGGCAACCGAAACTCCTCCAAGCTCCCCCCCTCAAAGAAGTACCTGCGGCATTAAACTTCCCCGGAGTATTCGAGCTTCGACAAAATACAAACACAGCACCCTCTGTATCGCTAGGTCACAGCAAATGTCAACGACTGAGCTCACGCTCGCAGCAGAATGGTTTCATGCCTCACCTTCGTCTTCAACCCTCCTACACCATGTTCCATGATCAGTTTCTGGAGCAAGGCTCTCTTCTCTCTCGCCCGGCTCTTGTCGTCGAACGTTCCTGCACCTCCCGCTTCCTCTCCCGGGTGGTCTACGCTTTCGTGCGCTTCAGTACGCGCCATCGCTACCGCTGCTGCTGCCGCATCAGCTTCGGCGAACGACACAGCTTCCCTGCAGAATTCCTTGGCTGGATCGTCATCGGCACCAGCTATAGCGTCTCCCTACAAGCGGCAAGATGTATACCACCGGCACATCAAGTTCTATTATCAGTCCAGTTCTCCAAACATTGCAACTCCTCGCTGTTACCAGTGGGTAATTCGAGGACCGAAACAGATGCATTCCAAAAGTCAGCAAACCAGAAGACTGCCAGGCTCCGCAAGACGAACGAACAACCCACTTTCAGCATGTGGGCACATCTGATTTTTCACGGCGCCAGTTACTCACTCGAGCCTTAGCCTTGGTGTCGGCCCTTGCTGCCATTCTAGCCCTGGCCTTCGCTCGTTTGAGCTCGTTATCCTTTAGCATGCGATGCATGCTCTTGACGATAAACGGACTTCTCATATGGAAGAGGCTCTTGTGCTTTTCATTAGCCATCATCGCGCGCCAGCCGCGTTCGCCGAATCTGCCGCGGGAACACGTCAGTCCAGCGTATAAACCACAAGAGCACCCACACCATTAGTCCAGACCAGCTAGAAAGAGCGAAGAGGCAACGTTGTCAAGGGCTGGAAACAGGGTCAACTTCGATTGTTGGGGTCAAGAAGAGGAACAACGCATCAATATTTACATCACAACGACAGAACACCCAAATCGTGCATCAGCACGTACTCGTCCACCGCCCTCTGGAGCTGTGCCAGGTCTTCTTTCGCCCACGGGCGGTTGCTCAGCTCCCGTTCTGCTTGCGCCTCTGCCTCCTCGTGCCCCGTGACCCTTTGTCGTCTGTTTTCGGCGTTGGAGGCGCTCGCCCCTCCTCCTCGCTTATGACCGTGCTCGGTACCAGCACTCGCTTGACCCAAGTACCCATACAAGGCTTGGCGCTGGAGCCGGCGCTCTTCCTCTTGAGCCATGCTGTGTACAGTACATAAGTCAAGCGGGACAATAGGATAGCGGGTGTGTGTGGGTACGTGGATGCACGCAAGCTAAACGAAGGCCACGCACAGGTGGTGATAGGGCCAACCAGTAGATGTACCACTTCGGTAGAGCTGCTGTATGCAATGTATTACATTCCTGGTACAAGAAGAACGAAAAAAAGAACCAAAAATTCGACGACCAAGACAACACAATCTTCTGCGTGGGTGGTTGGTCATGCTCAGGGCATATTGCCAAACGTCTGACAAACCAACAACCTACAATATCCTTTCATAGAGAGCACACTTTTTTCGTGTCCAACTCACCACCGTCGTTCCTCTTCGATCGACACTATCCTCTGCTTCACGAAGAGTTTCGCCCTCGCCTGGAGTGGCGCGTCGAGCAGAGAGCGTACAGGGTGTGGGGGGCAGCTCCAATGCCATTAAGAGCAAGGGGTGGGTGCAATGCTTGGAATGATAGCGGCGGGTTTCATATATCGTGACCGGTTGGTGCAACCTAAAAACGTATGAAAGGCGAGACATTCACCAGGTGTATGTGCAGGCTAGGATAAACGCACTGAGATTTCGAACGAGAGGTTGGAAGATATGCCAGCTATCCCGAACATGGGGCAATCAGCGCACGACCATGGCTACGACACAAAGAGTTTCGAACTATCTACCTCAAGCAAGTGGTCATCCATTCGCGCCCACGGCTGCCTCTATTAGGGGAGCCCAACTCAAGGGCGCTCGGTCCTTGTTTAAGCGAGAGCTTGGTGGAATTCTCAACCTCTTGTTGCAAACTAAAAGCCTGTAGTTGGCAGAGTAGTACTCTCTTAGTTTCTGAAGGGAAACTATCAACATGTCCAGGCGGTATAGCCCTTAACACACACAGCAGTCTGCAACCCGACACGGACTACGGGTCAAAGCAGACCTCACGCAGGCAGCTTTGCCACGGTCCTCGCCCGCCCCTTGTTCAAGAATAAGGTAGAAAAACCAGAGAAAAACTACTTTCATACACTTTCACACACAACACCGTGGCCGACGGCAGCAGCCGGCTCTGTTTTTATCTGGTGCTGCAGTCTCCAATGACTGTTCATACCATGGTGGAGCCCGACGGTCTCGCTATCTCGCGCCCAGAGATGAACCATGCGACAAAGCTTACGGTGATGGCCTTTTCATGACATGGTGACCCTTTGATGGAACGTCAATTTTGGGCAAACCTTGTGTCTATGGCGTCCTCTTCGCATCCCCCCCCAAATAAATAACCCGACGTTGGTAACCTTGGTTCCAGATGCTTGTCGCTGCAAGAGCCATGCAAAAAAACGAACGATTATTTTTCGACTTTTCCCATCAAAAATGCGGCCCTTACCCTGGTCTCCGGCGTAACGTGCTTCCTCATGCATTCAGGACAGCTCCAGTCATTCTGCATGATGACGACCACGACATGCGAGATGCGAGGAAAATCAGGGAAGGACTAGGCTCTGATGCATCACGTGCATCTGCCCAACATCTCACAAACCACCAAGCACATGTAAGGAAAAGCGTTTCTCTGTACAAGACGTGATCTTGTGCGTTCCAGAAAACGTTTTAGTGCCAGTGTCAAGCTGGACCAGAGGTTTGCTCGCGACCCAACCACTTTCAGCACGTTGATGTGCTCACGCATTGCGTACAAATCAAGGTTACCGAAACATTAACTTCGACTTTCCAACCACTTGAGACAACAACGAGCAAATTAAATTCTCGGACATAGACACTTATTGAAACACATAGACATACACGCACATCTGGAGGGTCCTCAAGGCGCGGATTCAAGCAGCGCAGGTGAAAGGCAACGCTGCAAGTGTCGCACAACAGCAATTCTCCTCCCTCCTCGCAAGCTTCACATATCTCCTGATGGAAGTCCGGAAACGTCTGTACACAACACGAAGATGAGGTTGGTATGGGGGTGATCGTGGTACTTATGCTTATGCATACCTGGGAACGGCGTGCTCGTGATAAATTAGCGTTAATATCACTTCCTTCTTGTGGTGGACGGCTGTTACAAGCAACTTTCACCATGCACCGGTACCACTTGCGCACGGACGAAGCTACTCGATGATTCTTTGATAAACGCCGTACGTCATATGCAGTACAGCAAGATCGGCGAGTGGGCAAAGGGACGACTCCTGAAATTACAAACAGGTTTAAGTGACTGAAAGAATCGCGTGTAGCTCACCAAGGCTATGTCAATCTGCCGTTTCATGAGTTGCCAGCGAGAGTAGTCTGGTTCATGAAATTTCCAGTTGTAGTAGAACTCGATGACGTCACCGTGGGTCTTCGTCGCAAACTCCTCCGCCACATCCTTCATGTCCTTGTGCTGGAAATAGGACCAAGCAATGGACACACAAAATGTGTTGGTGCAACGGACATGGCATTGTATGCCATGGCATGGTTTCAGAACTCCGACGTGTGAAACACACCCACCTACAAGGACTGTGCCGCAGCATGAACAGATGCAAAAAAATGAGGGAACTATGCAGGGACAGTACGCGACAAGTTGAGATGAGCTTCCGGGACACAGACCTTGTCCCCAAGATGTACTAGGAATGCCGCACGGTCAGCTTCGCTCCAGTCTTCCCACCGGTTGCCCCCAACATCGCTTTTCCCCGTACACGGTTCACCGCCAGGAGCAATTGAGCTGATTTGGTTGCTGCTCTTCTGCGCCGTTGCAATGTCCTCAGGTGACGTCGCTGCTTCCGCCGAAACGTCGCCCCTGCTATGTTGCAACTTGCGCGCATCGCTGCTGGCAGATGCGCTTTTGTGTTTGGTTTCTCTACATCGTTGAAGGCCGACCAAAGAGGCTTCTGCTGAAGCAGGATCGTATTTGCAACGATGTAGAGCTGCCACGACGTCGGCATGTGTGAGCAGGCTGGTTGGTCGCCCACCGTCGTCTCTTCCTGAACCTATGCGAAGCCGCTGTGCACACATGTACACAACAACCGACATATGCGTCCGCGAGTAAGCGCTGGCAGGCACCAAGGTAAAAGTTTACAAATGTATGTATCCATCGCTTCGTGTTACCGCTCTCCTGCATTTACCCCTTAGTATGCGACTCCCCCCAAATTTGAGAGACAACGGTAGAAAGGTAGCTTTCTTCCGAGGAGACAACCTTTGTAGGTGGGGGTTATTAGCTTCCACAGCTACCTGGGTGTTCCCAATCGTCCATGTTTCGGGTGTAACCTTCGTTTAGCATAGGGTAGAACAGATGATACGATACTTTGAGCATAAGGAAACGTGGGCAATGATGGGAGCAGAATTGGCAAACTTGACTCCAGAGTACTACCACATACCTTTACGAGCTGTTGCAGGCGGCGCTCATCAGGAGCACGAGACGAGTCCCACAGCAGGTGGTCCTGCGTGAAAACAACACAACACAACCGTCAGGGGGTTCGAACTTGCCAATGGGTGTTCCTTCTGAAGAGCGCCGCCCTATGTTTGCAACGTCAGATGAACGAATACAACACTCCCAGATTGGCAGGCACCATTGTCTCACCTTCTCGGGTGCAATTTTCAAGTCCTCCTGTTTTGCTTCCGCCGTGCGAGCGCGTAGTTCGGGAATTGTGACAGCCTGGTAGCTGTCTCCAATGCGGGTTTTGTCGTGCAGTTTGACCGCGATGGTAGACGACGCCTCGCCTTGGCTATCTGTTGCCCAGCCCTTCCGTATCAATTCCGTATCAATAAGCCGACGGGCAAACAGGCAGTCTTGTCGAACGTTTCAAAGACATCCTACCACCTTGCCGCCGTCGCTTCCACCAATATGGTGTCCCAGAAGTCCACGTTCTGCGCATGTCCATCATACTGCTCTATGCGATGCCACAAACCAACGGAAACACTAGCTAGAGCATCAACGTCGATAACTGGCACGAAAAGCTCGTGTGGCCTACGGACCGCGGAAATAATTAGCTGTTGGTGCTGGACTCTTCAATACGCCGGTAGCTGCACATCGGAATATTTGATGTGAACGTTGAAAGTAGCGCCATGATACACATTTTGAAATGACTGCTGAATCCATAATCTTATGCTCTCAAGTCGTTCCACTCCATTTTCAACCGCCTCACGTTTCGGGTCCGGCTGCGGCTCCGGCTGCCGCTTCGCTCATCTCCTTCACGAAGAGCGCACGGGTCGCAAAAAAATGGCACGCGTGGGGATTATCAGGATGACAGGCTGACACGGTACATCGCGGTCGGCACTCAACACGTGAAGAAACGACAAACCTAACACTCGAGTATACGTTACGCAGTAACACTTGTGCGAAGTCTTCCGGCCAGCGGATATCTGTCCTTTGATAATAGTTTATTTTTGCGAGAAGAGTGGCCCGGATAGGGGTACGCTTGTTGTTTTGCAAAAAAAAACTGTTTTGAGGGATCGTGTGTGGATGTATGTGCGCACGAGAAAAAGATTTTCATGGCCAGGGGCGTGAAAAAGACGCGATGGCTGTCTGATGTCTGTCTGTCTGTCTGTCTGTCTGTCTGTCTGTCTGTCTGTCTGTCTGTCTGTCTGGTGTCTGCGCGCCCTAAATAACCCAGCAGACTCGAGCCCATTTCACCATCTCGGCACCAAATTGCAAACTAAAACTTGCGCACAACAAGTAACATTTTGCCCGAGCTGTCCCAACCGCTACCTTTGCAATCCGTGGTCGGTGTCTCGAGATAGCACACCGTTTGTGCAAATATATATGTCACATGGACGCATCCCCGACTTCTCGGCCGGGAGGCGTCATTTTTGTTTTTTGGGCAACAAACTACACGCACGCAAGAAACCACGACGCACTGCCGTGCTGGCAAGACACGCACTACACAGAGACAGGGAACATGGACAAGGGGGGCGGGACACACACACATACTGCTGTTAGCGACGGCGGAGGAAGCGGGGAACGTTTGGT